TATATATTTATAATATATAATACAATATATATAATATTTCAATTCTTTACTGAATAATTTCTTTGAAAAATGGATTTTCGGTTGATCACATTTTGGCCGTGGTCCGATTCATACTCATGAGCATCATTTGTCTTCGTTTAATGTTTAACAAGGATGAAATGATTTGTAAGCGTTATGAGTGTGAATCGGACCACAAGCCTCTGTAATCTCTTTACTACTCATGTTTTATTTTATTCTCACATTCTCGTTCAGTCACGAAAAACTGAATTTCATGATTAATCACTACCATTGAAATTTAGATTTGGAGATTCGAGACAAAGAGAATAAGATAAAGTGGAAGCGTAGCGTATTCTTTGACGCTGGCGCCTAATATTTCAGTACTCTGTGTGTGTGTGTGTGTGTGTGTGTGTGTGTGTGTGTGTGTGTGTGTGTGTGTGTGTGTGTGTGTGGGTGGCGGGATGCCAGGAATACCCGGAAATCCCGTACCATTACGGAAAAACTAATATGTGTTTTCGAAAGTGTTGTATAAACGAAAAATCCAAAGAATAGTGAGACTTATTCTTTGATGAAAACCAAAAACTGAAAATGATTGCAGAATTATCCGAATGACTTCCACAACAATAAGGATGCATCATTCTTTTCTTTGCTAAAACATCATGAAATGTAAGTAAATTAAAGAAACTTAATCTATAAAATGTTACATTGAATGTTATTTAAAATTATCATTTTATTATTTGAAAATCAATCATTATAATTGCAGGCGTTTGAAGTGGTTAGAATTTGTACCACTAAATGCTAGGTTGGACAATTCCGACAACTTTCGAATATGCAATTTGCATTTCGAAGATGCGTGTTTCCGAAAAAAGTATCCCAGACCGCTATTAATAATAGGCAGTATTTCGACATTAAATCCTCAATGAGTTATGTCAATAGTAAGATTTAACATTTTTTAAAATTTTCTCAGTTATAAGATTTACTTAAGATAATCAGGAATTTATCAAATTTTGAAATTTGTATGTATGTATACTTTATTGTGCAGATAAAATCAAGTCGAAGCCAACAAATGAAAATTGTTTAATCAGGATTATCTTTGTACTTCACCCGATGCAATCGACTCAACTTCGTCGATTAATACAAGCAAAATTACTATCGATTCAATCAAGAAACCTGAATCATTACATGGTGAGCTTCACAATTGTAGCAAGGTTTGTAATTTTGGTGTTCATGTTTTTATGATATGCATAGTTATCAATTGGATTTTATATCATTATATACAAACGTACTCATTGTGTACATAACATTACTACAGATTATGACAACTGAAAGTGATAAAAAAAAACTCGCATTCAACATTAACATTGATATGCTATCAACATACGTAGTTAATAGTAATACATAAGTAGTTAATAGTAAGCAAAAGTCTATATTCATTAAGTGGTCTTAATTAGTACAGGTAAATGTACTACGATAATAAAATTCTTCCTTATTTCTTGGTTTTACGAATCGTGGAATATGAAACAATTTACGTGTCGATTATATCTCGGTTTATAAAGGATCGATTTTGTAAGATCTATAATTAAGTTTATATAATTAATTAAGATAAAATATAATAATATTATAATAATTAATTAAGATAAAATATAATATAATTAATTAAGATAAATAGTATAGAAACTTTATATACATTTTTTCATACAATTGGGTGTTTGTTTTGACGCTCACTTTAAGCGTCGTTTCATTCTTGTTCATTATATTAAATAAGGATTGATGCTCACAAGTCGTAAGTGTCAAGTCGATGCGTCGTAAGTGTCAAAGTGAACGCAACCTTAATGATATAAGTTGACACAAGCTCACAATGCTTGTGGAATTTCATCTTTGTTTATGAAATGTTAAACAAGGATAAAAGATGCTTGTGAGCGTTGCGAGCATCGAGTGAAACGTAGCCTTAATCTTATTGAATATTAAAAAAGGATAGAATAATGCTCAATTTGTATTAATTTGTGTCATTAAATGGCAAGCATCCATTAATCATCTCAATTATGTCTGAATTTGTTTATTTAAGTATGTATCAAATATAATTGTACAAATAAATGTAATTGTATTATATATAAATGTAATTGTAGATATATATATATCGATGGAGCTACATGACTTAACAGTTAAATCTATATAAGTAAATAAATATTTTGTAGATAATCCTTTATCGCCACACTTGCCTTCAATCACCGATCAAAGAGGAAGGAGTACCTTTCCAAGAATCTCTCCAAAGATCATACTCATTCCTAAATCTTTTCGCCTTTCTACACAAAAGAGGATTATCTTAGCTCTGCGACATAGAGTAAACCGTTTAAAACGAACATCTAATGTCGTAATGTCGAATCACAAGAAAGCTAAAATCAGGGAATTAATAGATGATGCTTCTTCTTTTCTATCAAAGCCAACCGAAATACTATTTTCGTCTCAATTATTGCTCAGTAAACGGTCTAAAAATAATAGTATTTCGACGAATTGAAAAACATAGCTTCGTTTATATATTTTCAATCGCATTCAATAACCTGATACCGGTTATTACAAAAGATATTAATTTTATCCTCGGAGAGAAGTCTCTCCGAAAATATCAGAAATTTATATTGTTTCCAATATATCTCGGGTGGAATAAAATGATTTTTGACGAATTCAGTAACACTTTTAAGAATAAGTCTTTGAAGGACAGAGTGATATCCGTCTTATTCGACGAAATTAGTTTATGCGGTTATGCTTTATGCCATAAGCCATAGGATCTACAATAGGTGTTTTAAACCTTAAGTCATAAGAAATTGACCAATTATATATAATCTTCTCTCTATAAAATATTCTTCTCGCATTCGATAATAATAATTAATTTCTTATGACTTAAGACTTATTAAAAAGTAATAACTGATCTTGTATCTTGTCTATGTGCTGGCCGTTTTTTTAAAGTTATATAACTTATATAGTTATATAACTTGTAGTTATATAACCGTTATGTGTTATATACTTATATGAATAAAAAAATTAAAATTAAAATTAAAAATTTAATTTACTTAATAATCTGTATTGTAATTATTTAATCTCATTTTAAGAAAAATTAGGACATTTAAAAAAATAATTTTTTTCAAAATTAACTTTTTTTTAACTTAAGTTAATTTAATATTGACTTAACTTACATTAAGTTAATTTTTCATTCCTTTAACTTTTAACTTAACTTTATTAATTTTGTAAAGCCGTTAACATCTTTCCTTTATCAGTTAAAAAAAACATTAATTTATTCAACTCTGGTTATTTGATACACTGAATTCTTCGCTTAAAAAAAAACTTCTGTAATAAATTAAATTACGCGAGTTCGCGAATACACAGAAAATTATTTTAAAAATAGTACAGAACTTAGAGAAAGCGACATTTGAATCCAAAAAGCAACCACCATATTTAAAAGAACTCCGCATGACAGTTCGAGCAATATTGGAATTGTTTGAAAATTTAGATCAAAATTATGGTGTTCATGAATTGTGAACTCGAAGATTAAATTAAGATCCGTTAGAAAATTTATTTGGGGTCATCAGGCAACAGCACGATTGCAATGTGAATCCGTCTTCGCGTCAATTCGAACATGGCATGCGATACATATAACACAATTATCAAAAATCTCGAAATTCACAAACTACGAGATTGATAAAAATAATATTTTTCTTAAACTTTCGCAAAAATGTCGCTAGTAAAGAGAATAACTTTGAAACAAATACAGAAACAAATTTGATACCGTCAACTATAAATTTTCAAATTGATTACGTTGAGAATGAATACGAAGAATTTAACCGGTTAAATTCCATTTATTACATATCAGGGTATTTATGTAAAAAATTTTTTTCTAATTCACGATTATATGTTATGTAAAAGCATGTTGCAAATCGACGAAGATAATGATTTTCAGGACTATAAGGCATTCACCATTTTTAAACAATACGAAAATTCCAAAGGATTAATTCATGTTAAACACGAAATTTTTAAAAAGACACCAACGTGAGAACAACATTTCATCTCGATCATTCGCAATATGCTTCACCGTAAGAACGTTTGTAAGAATCTCATGGCGTTCAATCGAAACTGTTGTCCGCAAATTACATTATGTAGCGATAGACCAAAAAAAGAAAGAATTATGTACAAACCCAGATAACACTTATGTTGCATTAGATATCTATAAGATGTCTTTTAGACATCTTATAGATAAACATAAAACATGAAAAACGTCTTTTAAATATCTTATGTAACATAAGTGTTATCTGGGAACTGTTGTAAATATATGTATGTATGTACAAAATTATATTTTATAATAAATATTTCTTATTAATTTTTACAGGAAATTTAATAATGTATTTGACCTGTTACATAATCTAGTAATAAGTATTTTCGATTGAGTTTATATCATTCAAATATATCGATCACCGATTAAGGTTAATTTCGTACTGAACCACCGAGAGCGCTGAAATTCGATACAAAATTTATTATTGGATTCTTATGGGCGCTTCCATTCTATCTTATCCTCTTTGATTCGAGATTAATAAATCCGAGTTCAGGGGGCTTATTCTGATTCTTTAGACAAATTACAAAAATAAACAAATCTCGCTAGGTGTTAACCAATGAAGTTATAAATATTCTAGTAAATTCGATCTATTTTCACCTTGTTTCAAAAACCGTAAAGGACTTCGCACAATAAAAGGAATAGAGAATAAAAATTTCAATCTATCAGAAATTGTGTATTCCACAACATACATGATTTCTGATAGGTTAAAATTCTTATTCTTTGTTCTCTGTTTTCTGTTCCTTTTATTGTGCGGAGCTTCTAATAAGCCCCTTGAGTATCAATCATGAAATTTTATCCTTAGGAAAGTGAGGTATGATTACGGGTACGGTCAACGCGATGCTACAAACGCTTTGAAGTGTTTTTTAATTGGTCAGTTTATAAAATTCTTTCTTCTATTTAGTTCATCAAAGCATTTGTAACAAGACTTTAACCACAGCCTACATGTAGCGCGGTACAGACTAGGTAACTATAGGAACTGCGCAAACCGTGCCACTTGCTTCTTTTCTTCTCTATTACATGTAGCGCGGTAAGCGACACGGGCTAGTAACAAATTCACACTACTAAGCTTTTTAATAGAATTAATTGATTTAAATACGATTATTAAGTCCATTGAAAAACTAAGAGATGGAATGTGCATAGAAATAAGTTAATATATTTAAAAAAATTCATATTAAAGTTTATTTGTCACTTTTAATATTTTATTTGGCACGGATTTTCGAAATTAAAATATTGTAGGAAATTAGGCAAATGATGATGTTTATTAGAAATGTTTGTTTTCATGATAAAGCAACTCAAGCCACTGTAGCAGTTTTAGCACTATATGCAGAGACATCTTATATATGTATATGTCGATCATTAACTTGACTATTATGCGCAGTTGTACTATTATATTTATTTTATTGAGATATTTAAATTTTATGTAATTTTTTCTAATACTTAATACGAAAAAATAATATCCAGATATACATTTATTCATTGAATAAAATGTTAATAATTTATTGAATAAAATGTTAATAATTTTATCAAAATTCTTTTAGTGATACATCTGATATAACATTAAAATATTCTAAGATTTAGAATCTTATTGTAACTTTTTGATTTTCTTTTAAAAGTCGAACTTGTATAAAAAATATTTGAAAAATTTTTTGAAACGTCTGAAATGAAATTAATTAGAAATTCTGAAAAATTATGAAATGAATTACACCAAAATCTGAAAAATTTTATGGAAAACAATATAAAAAGTTGAAAAAAATGAGAAAAATTTTCACTAAAGAAGAAAAGGAGAGCATGTATCTCGTCAAAAACGATTCAATAATAAGAAAATTAGGAAACATCTTCTTATCTTTGTATATGTACATATATACAAATACAAATAGAAAAGTAATACTACATTTCGATTAAAGTACCATCTTTTAATCTTTTATACTTAAATTCCGATTCTGGGCGTTTATTAACCCAAGCTTCCAAATCTAATTTGTTTAATATATATTCTGGGTCAATGGCAGCTTCTCGAAATTTTGAGGAGGTCTCGTCATCCTCTACAGTTTGTCTATTTCTTTTGGACTTTTTTTTATGCCCCGTACATTCCTCTTTGATTTTTGTAATAGTTAACAAATTTTTTGATGTACTTAGAAGTTTTATTCCAGAGCTTTTGTCCTTTTTCCATTTTTGTTCATCACAATAATTAAGAATTTCACCGTTTTCTATTTCTATGGTTCTAAAATTGACATTTATATTTGGATAAAATGTTAATTTATTAAAAACAGGCTAATATTTACACATGTACAAAATATTTATTTTTATTACTTACCGCTCCAAAATTTCATCTAGTTTTTTGGCGATAAAATTTTGAAACGTGACAGTAACACCAAAATTTGTAAATTCATCTGCTTGTTTTGAGCTTATTTTCAAGAAATAACTTCCTTCTAGTTTGTCAGTCTTTGCTTCTTTTAAAACAATAATTAAACAATAATTAGCATCATATTTATTTCTAATATTTCTATGAGAGAGATTACATAAATACACCTAGTTACTTTGTAAACCTTGAAGATAAAAAAGAAAGTGTTAATTTTACTTACCAGACTGAGTAATAGCTTCAGCTTTTTCAATGCTATACAGATTATTGTTTAAAAATTGCTGATCAATTGCTTCCTTCAAAATATTTGCAAATTTTTCATCTTCGGAACTTGATGAATCTACTTGTTCACTTATTTTCTTCATCATTAATTTAATTTATATCTGTAAATCTGTAATTTGTATATAGAATATTTATAATAATTAATACAATATATATATAAAATATGATCAAATGTTGGATTTTCCAACATATGCACAACATATGACACTGTGTGTTAGACAAAGTGTTTCAACTATGACACAGTATTACACTGTTCAACATAATAAAAAGCTAAGTAGGAGCATAAAGTAAAATGCGTCAATGTTACTAACTTTTCAAAAAGTTATTTGGTAGCCGTACTTATTTTGCAATAAAACTTTTAAAAATCATCAATTCTGAAAAAATTATAACTTAAATCTAAATAAAAATCATAAATCTATTATTACGCTAAATATAATTATATGAATAGAATGGAAGACTGCAATGCATTCTTGTGTTACACTATGAAACTAAACTGCATTCCAACAAGTATTTTACACTGAAACATAGTGACATGTCTCTGTGTCCTAGCTGGAAAACAGCCGCAAGCAGTTGGCTTGCAGGTTGTAGATCTATCAACAGTATCAACAAAAGTAATTTCATAGTAGAAACCGAGTAGAATTTGTCACTTTATGATTATTTAAATAAAATTGGTATTTATTTAGAATACGGACGTCACCGTGAAAATTGATAAAATTATACTCTTCCAATGCGTTTTCATTCGAAACAAAAGAATCTGATAGAAAGATGCAATGATCTGTCCCATGAAAAGAGTTAATGCCCTAGTTTACGCATTTAAGGCGGTATTCTAATGGCTCCTGCACACAGAACGTGACAACGCTTGCCGCACGGAAATTGGCGCGATAGCCAATCAACGTCTCGCTTGCTCGGAAGTAATAGATATATAATTTCTACCGTGTGGCGGAAGCAATATTACATTATTTCTAATTTTGCATGGGGAAGACTTAAAAACATAGAATTATTGATTAATGCGACAACTAATCAATAATTGTCGCGCGGCAAGCGTTGTTGCGTTTTGTGTGCCTATTGCTGGGCACAATAAGCGATGTCTGACTAATCCAAAAACTTTGCTTTTTCTCACGTGACGATGCAAAGCAGAACTTTTATTGAATATCGCTCATCGCTGATTGCATTCAGTATGCAGTAGACATTAGAGAACGGAAAAGTATGATCAATCAACTGCAGTCATTATTCTTTTTTTTCTGCAATTGTGATCTCACTGTTCCGCTGTAAATTTCCGTTCGTGGAATGACACCAATCACAATTGCAGAAAAGAAAGCAGAACTCAATCAATACTAGATAATTACGGTCGAAGCTGGATCTTCATTGCTTTAAATAATTCAATCTTGAATTACTAATACACTATATATGTACTTGCATATATATCATATTGTAGCCTTTTTAGAATTGCGCGCCGGCTTGTAAACCGAATTTTTCCGGATTATAAACGGAATTATTGTAAAACTACTCTAGTAATCGCGAATTAAATTGATAAGCAATTTAATAATTTGATACTACCATCAAGCATCATATTATAAAAATGTTAATACATTGAAACTGTTAATAAATTATTGCGAAGAATATTATCTCGGCCGGAACCCTTGTATTCCGTACGAGCATCCTAAGCCATTAGACTATCAAGGCCAACTGCAATTAGTGCGGAACGCTTGTGATTGGTTCCGCTCTTATTCTACGTTATGCTATTCCGTGATAGGCACGCTTAGGGCGCCTACTAATCAATGAAATAACGTAATGTGAAACGAGAACGTCCATTCGTATGTACGTGACCGGACAAAAATTATCATTTTAAATCGTTTGTATTTCATATGAAGAGTTTTGAAGTGCAAATAAAAAGATTTGTGAGTCATTCTATTAATCACAATTAATCATTCTTTTTTGGGTCATGTACTTGATCGAAATAGTTAACCGGATCTAAATTCAACAAAGTTTATAAATGGAATCATTTGTATTTCGTATGAAGAGTTATGAAATAAAACATTTGTGAGTCATCCAGACATTTTTAATTAAATAATAAATATCATGTATTTGACCAAAATATAGATACAAGCGCTACGATCACGGAAATTCCATTATATAGGTAGTCTCTCTAGTATTTTGATATTCCAGGATTATATATTATGGAATTGTTTACAATACGCTTACAATACGTAATATATAATGTCTGCTTACATAATGTCTGCTAACAATATCAATACTTCAAAAAAGCTTATCAGAAATAAAAAAATAAAACTAGATGAAAAGCAAGCAAGGCAAAGAATATGCTATATGTATTTGTGGTGGAGAGAAATATTGCAATGTTCTGCTATGAATATAATGATTTGACATTGATTATTTAATCTAATTGTGCGCATAGACATTATGCTACATTTAAAATTATACAATAAAAATGTATTTTTTAAATAACTATTTATGAAGTATTGTGTGACTTACTGTTATACAATATCAATCAAATATATTATCATACATTATCAATCAAATTTAGTCTTTCAAAAAGTATGCACTTACATTTCTGAGGATGCGATTACATGGAGCGCGGTACAGTATGCAATACAATAACTAATAGTAAAATAGTAACTAACGGTATAATAACTAACTAGGTAACTATAGGAACCGCGCAAAACCTAAAACTGTATATACATATTAAAGTAGCGTATTCCTTTGACTTGAACCGAAATGCTGACAGCCTTTCTATTGGCTATTTCGATCGCCATTTGTGACCTAATCCAATAAGCGCTTAGTATAATTGATACAGAGTATGATTAATAAGTTAAAAATGAAAGACGTATGCGCTACTTTAATATAGAGAGTTTTAGCGCAAACCATGCCGCTTGTTTTTTTTTTCTTTTATTAGGTGATAAAATTAATTCCAGCCGTTTTTTTCGTCTCTAAAATTAATTTGCTTCAAAAAAAAGATGAATGAATACCTTAATCAAAGTAATTTTCTCCATTTTCTACTTCTTTTTTCTCTCACTCCGGCAACAAAGCAATCACACGACGCGGTATCTTTCGAGGCGATGCATTCATCCATTCTTTTGCGTAATTGGAGAAGTGTATGTATGTCTGTAAGGGCATGTCCTTCAACGATATCTACAAAAGATATATGACTTTGAAACCGAAGTCAACTACGATTTCACACGTTGATTTTACTATATTCTACAGGTTCGCAATAACGGTTCAATAGTTAAGGAAAAAAACCAAGAGATAAACATTAATAGGAGCTACAAATATGGATTACTTGAATCTCGCAGAGCACTGTAGTAAGGCAAGCGAGGAAGTAGTCTCATTATCAGATGATGCAGAAATAATAAAAGCGAATCAGATATTCTCTTCTCAAAGCATTAGAGGAGAGAAACAGCAAACACAGAGTCAACAAGAGATTCGCGATAATGGAAACCAGCAAATTCAGAAAACAAACCTGATGAAAAAAATCAATTTTTATATGTATTTTATATGTATTTTTTTATATATGTTAGTTTTATGGTTTTATTCAAATTTGGATTATCGTTAATTATACTAATTTTAAGATCTTATATAAGTAACGTATTTTGATTTTGATGTCTATTTTCATCGTATTAATAATAACACACTTAGATTAGTATGTAATCACTTTAATTCCAAGATGTAATACCAAAAATTAATTAGTTATTTTAATAATAAGCATGGTAGATGTAAGAAAATCGGTAATATTCATCATTTTAAATACATCATTTACGTATTAAACATTGATTTAATTATATCAAACAAACGTTTTGTTAATGCGATTGAATATTTTGTTAAAATAAAACATGATCATATGAAATAATTCTATATTACGCTTCCTGTAAATAATTCTATATTACGCTTCCTGTAAATAATTCTATATTACGCTTCCTGTAATATGTAAGACATCACTTATAAAATATTTTTATTACCTTTAATACGTACCAATATTTTAAAATCATGATTTCTTAAGCATAGGTAATAGATTTAATAACTTAATGCATTAGAAGCACTGTAAATAGTGTAAAGATATAATTTACTGATAACTACTTATAATTAATAACAATTAAGGGTAATAAGACAATAATTTACATTTAACTTACCTTTTGTATAATAATTTTCCAGTAATGTATAGCGATAATTTCAAAAGAAATGATAGTTTGATATTTATCTAATTAATAGAGTTTAAACAAGATGCGATAATTGCGTAAAATTCGACTTAGTCGATTTCAGCCAGATTATACCACATTGAATTCATCTTGGACTGAGAAAAAATGATAACCCCCTCCCCCACTCCACCCCTTAGATGGAACCAGATCGAGGTGGCATCCAGATTAGCAAATTCGAGATCCACTTTAGTCAAATCGGATGCAATCAAGAAGAGGACCTAGATTAGGATCCATTAGAACAACCAGATCTACTTACCAGATTGATACGGGTTCTATATAGATCCAGTTGATAAACCCACATTACCTTAACACATTCACTGCATACATTAAATAAAATTTTTATAAATAAATTATTGAACTTCTTTAAACATATTAATATTATGTTTTTAATTTAATCTTAAATCATAAAGGAAATATTCGCCGTATTTAAATTATGCTCAAATCTTGGATTCGGGCGATTTTGTAAAATCAATGAATCCTCTGATTGGCCCGGGCACAATAAGAATACTTTTAAATAAATCTTAGCTCTTATTTCATTAAACATATATTAAATATGATTTTCATAAATAAATTATCCAAAACAGAACTTCTTTAAACTTAATAAATATTTTTTTTTAATTTAACCTTGAATCATGAACAATAGGAAATACTCGATCTTTGCAACAATTTTGCTTAAAATCTGTTTCGAGCGATTCTGGAAAATTCCTATGAAACAAGTTCTCTGAATGGTTCTCGATGATTACAAACTTCATATTTTTGAAATACAAAAAATGGCGGAACGCAGAAGGATGTCAAAAAATTAAAAAAATCAGTTCTGGAGCCATAAAATGGAGACAAGTAAGATTAGGTTATCGATTATTCAGGGGATACATGATTTTTTTTTTGATTTTCTGTTAGGTCAATTTAAGATCAGCGCTTATCCGTTGGAATTTCTTTTCTATCGACTTCTGTTCCGGAAGTGGCCATTTATCTCACGAATGGTTGGAGTTAGAGGTTTAGTGTCTAAGGCAATGTTGTTGCATTTCAAAAGACACGTCGTTTCCCGTTAGAATTATGTCTCTATGTATTTTCCTTTAGGTTGTACACTCTTGTGAAATATAGAGATATAGACGTTTTTTTAAACGTTTTTTTAAGTTCCGTTGACAAAATCATCAAAAGTCGAGGTTGGGTGTATTAGATAATGTCGTTGCATTTCAAAAGAGGCATCGTTTACCATTTGAACCATTTCGTTATCCTTTTTCGTTTAGGCTATGCACTCTTGGAAGGCGAGATATTTTCGAAATTTTTCGAAGTTCGAAGTGAAAAATCGATAAAAATTCGACTGTACCAATTGATAGAGAAAGTCGAGAAACGCATTTTGGAAGTATAAATTTTGGCCAAAATTTGAAAAAATTTTTGGGGATTTTTTCGAATTTTCGAAAATTTTTTTATTACTGATTCCAGAAGTACCGGTCATG